CTCTTGACCTCGTGATCCACCTGCCTCGGCCTCTCAAAGTGCTGGGATGGGATAATAGGTGTGAACCACCACACCCAGCCTTTTTTGTTTTGTCTTCCTCTCACCAAGCTGGAGTGCAGTGACACGATCTCAGCTCACTGCAATCTCCGCCTCCCGGGTTCAAGCAATTCTCCTGCCTCAGCCTCCCGAGTAGCTGGGACTATAGGCGCGCACCACCACGCCCAGCTAATTTTTGTATTTTCATTAGAGATGGGGTTTCACCATGTTGGCCAGGATGGTCTGTATCTCTTGACCTCATGATCTGCCTGCCTCAGCCTTCCAAAATGCTGGGATTACAGGTGTGAGCCACCGCGCCCGGCCATTTTTATTTTCATAAAAATAAAATCTTACAATGAATCTCTTATCATGTAATAGCCAGTGTTGTCACAACAGTCCTGAGAATTGGCAATGGCCAGTGTTTCATCCTGTTCCGCAGTTGAAGAAGCCGAGGTCTCTTGACTCTCCAACCATCACAAACCTAGGTAGTGGTAGAGCTGGAGCTCACGCCCAGGTTTTCTCACGTCAGTCCAGTATGCTCTCCCCAGTACATGCTCTCCCCTATTCAGAGTTGTAAACAGTCAGAAATTCTTACCACTCTTTAGCAGATTGATGATGCCCCAGGGATATACAAGAGGCTCAGAAATATGATATCATCCTTACATGTATATGAAAGATAAAAGTTACAGAAAGAAAATGTGAAAATAAAAAATATTTTTAAGATCCCCAATATGCATTCGATAAACTATTCCAGACTTTCTTACCAGCATCTTTATAGGTTCCTTGTCTATTCCTCAGGGAGGTAAAGCTGTGGTTGTTGACAATGACACAGTGGCCTCTGTGCTTCCGATTCATCCTGTACACAGCTGCCCCCTTGAAGAACAGATAGAACCACTTAGTAGGGATCCTTATCTTAGGGCCTTAAATGTTTCTAATTAACCACTCCAATGGTGTTCGTTGTGAGGAAGAGCAGGATGTAGCTGCTCGTGCCAGTTGTTTAAACCACGGTTTTTGGGTTTTTTGGGTTTTTGGGTTTTTTTGAGACAGAGTCTTCTTTTGTTGCCCAGGCTGGAATGCAGTGACACCATCTCAGCTCACTGCAACCCCCGCCTTCCACTTTCCAAGGGATCCTCTTGCCTCACCCTCCCAAGTAGCTGGGATTACAGGTGCCCGCCACCACGCCCAAATAATTTTTGTATTTTTGGTAGAGGCAGGCTTTCACCATGTTGGCCAGGCTGGTCTCAAACTCCTCAAGTGATCCACCCACCTCAGCCTCCCAAAGTGCTGGAATTACAGGCGTGAGCCATCATGCCTGGCCAAAACCATGTTTCTATACTCTAGTCTAAACCCCTTGGAATATTTATGCCACATTATTTCTAAAGTCACATATTGAAAGACTAGGAATTCTGACCACTCTGCAACTCAGTTTTACTGCACAATGGTGATCTGAATAAAATTTCAAAGATTCTTTTTTAAGTCCTAGAGCCCAGGACAAAGGATAAATTTCATTTGCACTAAAGATCAGACACTTCCTTTTTCACAAGATGCCACTCCCCAGTATCAGAGAGTTCTTAAGATCCTGGCCCTGTCTGGGTGCAGTGGCTCACACCTGTAATTCCAGCACTTTGGGAGGCCAAGGTGGGTGGATCATGAGGTCAGGAGTTCAAGACCAGCCTGGCCAATATGGTGAAACACTATCTCTACTAAAATTACAAAAATTAGCCGGGCATGGTGGTGCATGCCTATAATCCCAGCTACTTGGGAAGCTGAGGCAGAAGAACCGCTAGAACTCGGGAGGTGGAGGTTGCAGTGAGCCAAGATTATGCCACTGTACTCCAGCCTGGGTGACAGAGTAAGAATCTGTCTCAAAAAAAAAAAAAAAATACTGGCTCTAGTGTGGAATTAGCTAATTAATTCCAAGGAAGAATACCAGGTCCTGATTAAAACCAGACTTTTCCTAGTTTGACTGGAGAAGCTCAGTTATGAAAGTTAAAAAATGGAATATGTATTTTAATATTGTCAAGCCCAGGGATTATGCAAAAGCATCTTCATTTTCATATTAGCAACATGAATGAAGAAAGCATACGCAAGGGTTTCATGAGACGACATAAATATCAAAGATTTTTTTCAGATGGTATACTTCTAGAGTGACCTAATGCCTTCAAAAAAAGAGAAATCTCTTGCGTAACTTTATTTCTGAATATAAAAATAATATACAATTTGGCATGGTGGTACTCAGGTGGCTGAGGCAGGAGAATCCTTTGAGCCTAAGAGTTCAGGACAAGCCTGGGCAACATAGTGAGACTGCCATCTTTATATATAAATATAAATATATACATATTCACAGTAGGAATTTAAAAATATGTGCAATTATTCCTGAAGACTGTTGTAAACAGCATGTGATTGCAAATTAGCTGAGCTGACTTTAGCAGAGCCTCTGTGGAGCTAAAATCATCCTTGAAATCACAGTACATCTTTATCCAAGCAGAAAATAAGTGGCTTCAGTGGATAAGAAAAGAAACTTCCCCTCTCCAGAAATAACCCAAAGGGTATGCATGACTCAAAGTGCAACAGCATTTCCTCCATAGTCAAAGGTATCAATCACTTCTGATTGATACAGAAAAAGGTGGGAAGAACAGAGGTAATTACAGAAACAGGGAGAAACACATCAGAAACAAGCTGCTCTGAGCCCTCAAAGTCATCAAAGGCCGGACCCTAGGGAGAGAGCACCTAAAGAAACCATCCTTTTGATTGCATTGGAAAAACATTTTTTTAATTAAAAAAAGAAAAAAAGAAACCATCCAGACCTTTGTGCTGGTTTCAAAATTGGGAAAGTCAGCAGATGCTCCTTGCATCCCCCTGGAGACCAGGCTTGGTGCACCATTTGTGGCTCTGTTACCTAGAAAGAGAGGTACTCAGACTCCAAATATCTTCCCCAAGCACTTAGATTTCCTCACTAATAATTTTCTGACATCGAGTCTAATTATGGAGGATTATTTTTATCTCAAGGGCCTCCTCAGACAAATTTAGCCACCATGCCCTTCCTAAAGGAGAGGCTGATGTGTCTTTGCATTCCTTTTTGCTTTGTCCAGGTTGGAAACTATGCTGCTGGCAGGGATGGGGTGGGGAATTAATTAAAACCCCACAGATCAGCTCAAGAATTCCAGCTCAAGCATTGTTGGGTTGGGTAGGCATTTATCTGTTACTGGATATACAGAGGCTAGGTGGACCTCGAGAAGAAAAAAGAGGGAGGCTGGGTGTGGTGGCTCATGCCTGTAATCCCAGCACTTTGGGAGGCCAAGACAGGCAGATCACCTGAGCCCAAGAGTTCAAGACCAGCCTGGAAAACTTAGTGAGACCCCCATCTCTAGATAAAAATATATAAAAAATTATCTGGGCATGGTGACACACGCCTATAGTCCCAGCTTCCTGGGACATTGAGGTGGGAGGATCACCTAAGCCCGAGAAGTCAAGGCTGCAGTGAGCTGTGATTGTACCACTGCACTCCAGCCTGGCAACAGAGTGAGACCCTGTCTCAAAACAAAAAGAAAGAAAAAGAAAAAAGAGGAGAAAAAGAAGTTTCCAGTTTGGCATCAGCTGAGGATCACACTGCTTTGAAGTGTTCCTGCAAACTCCCTGATTCTTCTGGAAAAGACTCTATCACAGAAAGAAGGTCAGGGATGGGTTATTTGTCACGTGGCACTAACAGGGAAATGCAACATGAAACAGTTTTCTTTTTCCTCTTGCAGAAAGTTTGTAGTAGAATCCACCAAACTCTATCCTTATCTCTGGGGCATGAGTTAGTTATTAACTACTGCTAAGGATCACTCCTCAGGCTTAGCTCAGGCTGAGCAAGTCCATACTCTCCAGACCAGAGAACACAGCAAAAGGGATCCAAGCCGCAATGGCTCAAGCACCTATAAATTCCTCCTCACCATGGGAGAAGGTAACACTCCGGGGGAAGCCACGTCTAAATGTGGGAAGCCACGTCTAAATGTTGGAAGCCACGCAGAATTGTAAAGCTGAAAGAAACTGCCTTATTCCTCAGAGGGGCGAAGCAGTCGGCTGAGCTCACATAGCAGACAGTGGGAGCGCCTGGCCTTGGGAGAGCTAGCTCTGGAACCAGACTCGGACTGCTGGGTTCAAATCCCAACTTCACTTCTTTTTAGCTGCAGTGCAAACAAAGCACTAGATTTCATGGGTCTCGGTTTCCTCACTGGTGAGAATAACAGTAGTACAGTGACTGGAGGATTAAATGACATACTCCCTGGAATCTCTCTGAACAGTGCCTGGTACGCGACAAGTGCTTCGTAATGGTAACCTAGTCAATGTTATCAACATCACAGCACACCACCTCCATGTTAGGCAAAATGACAGATGGCTAGCAAAGTTGTGTGTCTTGGACTCTAAAGGTTAATTTTCCAGAAAAGAAAAATGAGGAATGGGCTGTGACAAACTCTACTTACCACAGAAAGACTTCACCAAAGCCTGTTTGTTCGTAAGCAGTTTAGCCCAATGGCAGATTCTGGACTACTTCCCTAAGGTTATGGTTTCTGGGCAGGGATTCAGGGAACTAAACACACCATCCTCAGGTCTCTCCTCTTGTTTCTTCTCTCCCTCTGAATCAACATCTGGAACCACTCCATAGAGGACACCCACCCAGACTGCACATTCCGCTGTCAGTGCTGGCCTGAAGGCTTCAGCCCTGCTGGGGGCTGTTTCTGCTACACAGAGAGTGACCTAATTCTGAAGGGTAGAGGGAGAGCAGCTGTCTGCAGTTCCAAGATTCTGCTACACTCAGCATTCAGAGCAGAAACCACCCAGCCCTCTCCATACCGCCATAGGAAAGCCTAGTGTAATTCATGCATTCGATGTCTTGCGTTGAATTGGAATAAAAAATGAATTCTCCATTATCTGTAAACCTTCTCTTCCAAGTCATCTGAAATTCCTTCATATATATCAAATATATCTATTCCTGCCATACTGATCTAAGTTGTAAAAAGTATATTAGAAACACCTACTGTCACTCCTTGCATGCTTATTTTGCCAGGACTCCTCCTGTTGAGAAAACAAACAAACAAAAAAAATCCATGAAACGTAGGAAATTCACACAGTTGGATGAGGAACAAAAGCTAGACCTGATGGAGGGAAGGACAGATATCTAATCCCCAGCCACAGAAAAGGTCATTGGCAGGAGATGGGAAGAGAACCAGCTCTCTCCATCCAAAAGAGAAAGTTCACAAAGACGCACTGGCAAAAACAGAGTGTGACATATGCTCAAGGGTATTTATTCATTGCAGCATTACTTTGCACTAAGGACTGAAAGCAGCCTAATGTCCACCAATAGCAAGCAGCTGAAAAAACTACGGTATGTCCACACAGTGGAGTGAGATGCGGAGGACAGCCTCTATACACTTCTCCAGGGGGTGCTGTCACATGGAGAAAGGAAAATGAAATGGTATTTGGGTACACTACCTCTTTTGTAATAAAGAGAAGATATGGGTTGGACTTTTTTCAAAAGTAACAATAGGATAAATCATAAAACAAATAAAAATGGTAATCGAGGGGGAAGAAGAGGCAAGGATGCAATATAGACTACTTGGCCATACATTAATGTTTTATATAATTAAATACAAAATTAAAACAAAGTCTAGGACCCTGTCTTTTTTGCATCCTCCTCCCCATTTACCACCACTCCCTTCTCTCTATGACCCTCAGCCATCAGCCCGCAGCAGAAAGCCCCCAAGGGAACCTGAGCAAGGTGCTGGGGAAGGGCTGGCCGTGACCTGTGTGAGGGAACCGACAAATCACCCCCAAGTTCCTGGGAATGCCTCCCTGCTGGAGCCCCCAGGCTTCTGGGCTGCACAATACTATAATTTCCCAGCTCTGGCCGGGTGTGGTGGCTCACACCTGTAATCCCATTTGGGAGGTCAAGGTGGCTGGATCACGAGTTCAGGCGTTCAAGACCAGCTTGGCCAATATGGTGAAACTCCATATCTACTAAAAATACAAAAAAAATTAGCCAGGAGTGGTGGTACATGCCTGTAATCCCAGCTACTTGAGAGGCTGAGGCAGGATAATCACTTGAACCTGGGAGGCAGAGGTTGCAGTGTGCTGAGATTGTATCACTGTACTTCAGCCCGGGCAACAGAGCAAGACGGTCTCAAAAAAAAAAAAAAAAAATTCCCAGCTCTGGGGAAAACAAATGCAAAGGAGGCTTAGTTTCACTCTCCAAAAGGCTTCCTGACTTTCTTTTCACAAGCCACTGTCCCCTTCCTGAAGAATCCTAGATTCCTTCCAAGCGGCCGACAAGGGCCTGGCCATTCTGCCTTCTGGTTTTGTCCAGTACTTGAGTGAGTCTTCTGGGACTAACAGCAATGCAGACACAGCAGCAGGCTCTGCCCAGCCCCTCCAGACCTTAGCTTTCCTTGATTTGTTCTTCCCTTGGCTGATAAAGTCAGCCAGAACAGGGACTAGAAAAAAGCTTTAAGGCCTAGTTTGCCTTTCTTCTCCTGAGAATGTTGCATCCTCTGCTGACACCTCTCAAGTAACTACGTCAAAGAGGAATGAATGAATGAATGTCCCACAGCCTGGCCACACTCAGTCATCTTTCAACTTCTTTTGATTGTTTTCAAGAGGAGTCCAATAAGGCCTTATTAAGAAGAAGGTGTTAGGTCTCCTCCAACAAGAGGCATGCCTCTCCTTAAGAAAACCTTATGTCACACTTAAAAATATCTATTTGGCCTGGCGTGGTGGGTCATGCCTGTAATCCCAGCACTTTGGGAGCAGAGGCGGGAGATCACCTGAAGTCAGGAGTTCAAGACCAGCCGGGCCAACATGGTGAAACCCCGTCTCTACTAAAAATACAAAAAATTAGCCAGGCATGGTGACGGGTACCTTTAATCCCAGCTACTCGGGAGGCTGAGGCAGGAGAATCACTTGAACCTGGAAGGCAGAGGTTGCAGTGAGCCAAGATCGTGCCATTGTACTCCAGCCTGGGCAACAAGAGTGAAATTCCATCTGAATTTAAAATACATATATATATATATACATATGTAAATTTAATTTTTCAACAAATTAGGAGATGTTGCTCAAAATTCAATGAGAGTTTCTTCTCATTGAGCCCAATAAAAAATTTTTTTAAATCTTCAGGTGCTTAAGAAACATGAGATGTTTCACCAAGTTATATTTTATTCATCACTTGATGGAGAGAGGAAAGTCTGCCCAGATAACTTTTAAGACACCTTCCAACCCTAAGAGTGTGTGAAAACATGTGAGGTCCTGCACCCCAGTCCTCCCACACCTCCAGCACTGCCACAACTATCCCCGCACTGCATGTGCTGTGGCCAGAGTCATCCCATGTCAACAGAACCACACTGCTTCAGAGGCGACAGCTGAGCCATGCACCTTTAGAAACCACTGGATTTCTCAAAGACAAAGAGCAGAAGTGTGTGTGTATGTGTGTGTGTCTACATGTACATCAGTATCTGAGCACAAACCTACTTGAAAAAGTGGGTGGGAAGAGTTAGGTTTGGCAGGCAATTTAACTTAGAATTAGGGAATCCTAAATTGTTAGTGCTAGAAAATCACATTTTAAGGAGCTTCTGGGATGGCCAGGCACAGTGGCTCATGCCTGGAACCCCAGCACTTTGGGAGGCTGAGGATGGTGGATCACCTGAGGTCAATATAATGAAACCCTGTCTCTACTAAAAATACAAAAAAAAACACAAAAATTAGCTGAGCATGGTGGCGCACACCTGTAACCCCAGCTACTAGGAAGGCTGAGGCACAAGAATCATTTGAACTCGGGAGGCGAGGTTGCATTGAGCCGAGATTGCACCATTGCACTCCAGCCTGGCCAACAGAGCGAGACTCCATCTCAAAAAAATAATAAAATGAAATAAAATTTAAAAATAAAGAGCTTCTTGGGGAGTGGGGAGTGGGGAGGGGTTTGCAACTCTCTAAAAAAAGTTGTGCCCAGGGTCAGGGAGTTGGCCCATAAATGTCAGTTTAATTGGATTACAGTAAAAGAATCAAGGGGAGCAGCCTCTCTCCCTCAATATCTCAATTAGATGTCTAAGCACTTTTCTAGGACTGGAATTAATTGAATCAAGGGCTATTTTCTTAGAGAAAAGAAGCCAACTTAGGCTTTTATAAATAATTGCAATTTTGTGTTATTTCCCTTTGGGGGAGATACAAAATTCAAATAAACTCACAGCAAGCAGGCGGAGGTGTTTCTTTTAATTAAGGATGCATTTAATCTCTTAAGATCACTTACAAAGTGCCCTCCCAAAGCTGAGATTCCCTCAAATGCCTAAATACCTCCACCTGCCGAATCAGCTTCAGGGCAAGAGCCACAGAGCAAACCTCCCTGCTCTGTGTCACCTCCTGGCTGCCTGCACAGTCTTCAGGTGGAGCATTTGCCCAGCCTTTGCCAAACTCCAGGAGCTGCAGGTCATCTGGCCAGTTTCCACTGTCTCCTTTATTTAAAAAAACAAAAACACCTTCCTGGTGAGACAGGAGGGTCCTTCTTTACAGTAGAATGCTGACAGCAAACTTACAAATGTGGAGAGAATACTGGAGTCGGAAAACCATTGCTTTACAACCAACATAGCAAATGCTGGATCACACAAGAATCATCAGCGAACACTCAATCTAGGGGAAACTTCTCATGTGCAGCAGGGTATTTACAGAATCTTAAAATCTCTCTCCAGCACTTGCTTATTAATCATGTGGGGGAAAAATTGTAACTATATAAAAATTATAGAGTGAAGATATCAGAAAATGTCTTGACCAAACAATCAAAATTAGCATCATGAATTGGGGGGCAGATGGACATCTTGTGCCTCCAAATGGGATGCCCTGAGAAAAACAGATCACTTCTGTGATATTCTGGCTAGAATGTATGGCTTGAATCTAATTGTGAAGAAACACCACACGTACCAAAGATAAAGAAAATTCTACTTAATGAAAGGTGGGAGGAGTGACTGCATTCTTCAAAAGTCTCAATGGCGGCTCGGTGTGGTGGCTCATGCCAGTAACCCCAGCACTTTGGGAGGCTAAGGTGGGTGGATCACAAGGTCAGGAGTTCAAGACCAGCCTGGCCAACATGGTGAAACCCTGTCTCTACTAAAAATACAAAAATTAGCTGGGCATGGTGGCATGTTCCTTTTATCCCAGCTACTCAGGAGGCTGAGGCAGGAGAATTGCTTGAACCGGTACCCAGGAGGCAGAGGTTGCAGTGAGTCAAGATCACGCCACTGCACTCCAGCCTAGGCTACAGAGCAAGACTCCGTCTCCAAATAAATAAATAAATAAAGTCTTGATGGCATAAAAGAGGAAAATAAATGGCATAAAAGCCATGGAAATGTTCAAGATTCAAGGAGATGAAGCCGGGTGTGGTGGCTCACGCCTGTAATCCCAGCACTTTGGGAGACTGAGGCAGGCGGATCACTTAGGTCAGGAGTTTGAGATCACCCTGGCCAACATGGTGAAACCCCATCTCTACTAAAAATACAAAAATTAGCCAAATGTGGTGGCACATGCCTGTAATCTCAGATACTCAGAAGGCTGAGGCACAAGAATTGCTTTAACCCAGGAGGTGGAGATTATAGTGAGCCAAGACCATGCCACTGCACTTCAGCCTGGAGACAGAGGGAGACTCCATGCCCCCCCCAAAAAAATAGAAAAAAAAACAGTAAAGGAGACTAAAGGATCATGACAACTAAATACAATATTGCATTGTATTATATTGTATTTTTAATTTTTATTATTTTCTTTTAGAGAGGGTCTCACTGTGTTACCCAGGCTTGCCTCAAACTCCTGGTCTCAAGTGGTCCTCCCACTTCGGCCTCCCAAAATGCTAGGATTACAGGTATTGTACCCAGCCTTGTATTGTATTTATATAAGATCCTAGGTGGAATTTTGTGCTGGATGGTTTAAGAACTGTCAAGGACATTATTGGGTTCAACAGACAAAATTGGAATATGGACCATTGATTTGATAAAAGTATTATATTAACATAACTTTCCTGGCATTGATAATTGTATTATAGCTCTGTAAAAGAATATCCTTGTTATGAGGAAATACACACTAAAATATTTAGGAGTAAACGGCCATGATATATGCAACTTACTCTCAAAAAGTTCAGAAAAAAATTTTGGGTGTGGAGAGAGACAGAGAAAAAGAGTGCAAGTATGAGTGAATGCACAAAAATAATAAAGCAAACGGGGTAAAACACCAATAACAGGTAGGTGAATCTAGGAAAACAGTACATAGGTGTTCTTTGTATTATTCACATTCTTGCAACTTTTCTATAAAATTGAAATTATTTTTAAATCTAAAAATCATAACTAAAAATATGAGACCATGACAGTAGTAAAGAAGCCATAAAACAATTTTTAAGAATAAAAAATAAAGGCCGGGCACAGCGGCTCCCACCTGTAATCCCAGTACTTTGGGAGGCCAAGGCGGGCAGATCACTTGAGGTCAGGAGTTCAAGACCAGCCTGGCCAACTTAGTGAAACCCTGTCTCTATTAAAAAATACAAAAATTAGCCAGGTGTGGTGGCGCACACCTGTAATACCAGCTATTTGCGAGGCTGAGGCAGGAGAATCACTTGAACGAGGGAGGTGGAGGTTGCAGTGAGCTGAGATTGTGTCACTGCACTCCAGCCTGGCTGACAGAGTGAGACTCCATCTCAAAAAAATAAATAAATAAAACTTCTACAAACAACCCAACTAGAAAATGAGCAAAGGACTTAGACAGACATTTCTCTAAAGAAAATATACAAATGGCCTAAAAGCACATGAGGAAGATGATCAACAACCACAAAATCAAACCCTTGTGGTTTTGATTTGCATTTCCTTAATTTGCATCAAAACCACAAGGAATGGCTACTATCAAAAGGAAAAGAAAATCAAAGGAAATCAAGGAAATGCAAATCAAAACCACAGGATGGCTACTATCAAAAGAAAAGATTAGGTTTTGGTGAGGAAGTGTTGCTGGGGATGTGGAGAAACTGGAACCCTTGTGCACAGTTGGTGGAAATGTCAAACAGTACAGTCACTGCGTAAAATAGTATGAAGGTTCCTCAAAAACACTGAAAATAGAATGACTATATAATCCACCATGGGTATATACCCAAAAGAACTGAAAGCCGCATCTCCAAGAGATATTTTTACACCGATATTCATAGCAACATTCTTAAAAATCATCAAAAGGTGGTGGCAGCAGCCCAAGAGTCTGTCAATGGACGAGCGGATAACAAAATGTAGTTGACTGAGTCCTCACTCAGAGTCATCCGTAGGTTCTTGGTAATTGTGACTTTCAGTGATACAAAGAAATGTATGCTGTAGGAACTTAACTCTTAGGGAGTTTTTTTGTTATTGTTTTTTGAGACAGGGTCTCACTCTGTCACCCAGGCTGGAGTGCAATGATGCAATCTCAGCTCATTGCAACCTCCGCCTCCCAGGTTCAAGCAATTCTTGTGCCTCAGCCTCCTGAGTAGTTGGGATTATAGGTGCGCCACCACACCCGGCTAATTTTTGTATTTTTAGTAGAGATGGCGTTTTGGCCAGGCTGGTCTCGAACTCCTGGCCTTAAGTAATCCACCCGCCTTGGCCTCTCAAAGTGCTGAGATTACAGGTGTGGGCCACCACGCCTGGCCAACGCTTGTTTATATCAATTAGCCTATGGTAAAATTGGTTTTATTATATGGTATGTGGCTGAGCATGGTGGTTCATGGTTGTAACCTTAGCACTTTGGGAGGATAAGGCAGGAGGTTTGCTTGAGCCCGAGTTTGAGACCAGCCAGGGCAACAGAGTGAGACCCCCATCTCTATCAAAAAATTTAAAAGTAAAAATAAATACATTATACAGTATGCTATCACTTAAAGTCAGTTTCCAAAAATCTATCAATGCTGTTAAGTGAGGATTTACTTTATATACACACAGTGGAATATTATTCAGCCTTTACAAAGGAAGGGAATTCTGAGATATGCTACAACTTAGATGAACCCTGAAGACTTTACGTTAAGTGAAATAAGCTAGTCACAAAAGGACAAATATTGTATGATTCTACTTATATGAGGTACCCTAAAGAGTCTAATTTACATAGAGAGAAAGTAGAACAGTGGTTTCCAGGGATTGGAGGGAAGGAGAAAGTGAGAAGTTATTATTTAATGGATACAAAGTTCTAGTAAAAGAAGATGAAAAAGTTCTGGAGATGGATAGTGTTAATGTCTACACAACCCACACAACAGTATGAAGGTATTTAGCATTACTGAACTGTATACTTAAAAATGGTTAAGATGGTATGTTTTGTTATGTGTATTTTACCACAATTGAAAACAAAAAATTTCCCAGACCAAGCTAACTTTATTGATGCTGACAGAGGTTGGCAAAGTCAAACTACCCAAGTCTGCTGGAAGAACCACAAATCCCAGGGAAGACTGTCACATAGCTCCCAAGGATCATGATCAAATTGTGAGGAACAGGCTGCAAACTCTCCCAGTGTTTCCCCTTCCACCCATCCTTTCAGAGCTGAGCACCCAGAAACCAGAAACACACTTCTTGTTCTCTGGGTTGCCCAGCTACATGCTTGGCAAACCTCTTTTTCAGTAATGCATGAAGAATTTCAAAGCAGTAACAGCAGAGCATTAAACAAAGGTCTGTATTTGAACTCTGGAATTACTGTCAGGTGCCATGTACTCCATAGATTTTATGTCCCTGAAGCTGAGTCTAATTGCATCCCACAGATAAGAACAAAACAACTCAGGGTGTGTGGAGTAAGCTCAAACTAACTAGTGAGAGCACACACTAACTAGCTCTCACTAGTCAGCTAGTGAGAGCCAATTGTTAAATTTTCAGAAAATGTGCACTCTGGTTAATATGTTGTTTACTTGAAATCACCATGGCGGGAGCATATACAGCAAATGGTACAAACTGGGGCCTCTCTTTTTCTTTTTGGGGTTGGGGTTGGAAGGTGGAGCTGGTTGTTAAACAATGACCAGCACACCACTGAACCTACCGGTAAGGCTTCCAAGAATGTTTTAACTTCTGTTTGGGAAAACAGTTCTTCCTCTCCTTGATACAAAGACTCAGCTTCCTTGTCTACAGGAGGTATCCCTATCTGGGTAGCTGGAAATAAAACCACAAACAGAAAAACAAAAATCACCTTCTGATTCATAGCAATCCAAAATAACCGGTTATCAAAAGCAGCCATGTAAAGTAATTATTTTGAAGAGAATTGTAAATATTTTTTTTGAGATGGAGTTTTGCTCTTGTTGCCCAAGCTGGAGTGCAAGGGAGCAATATTGGTCACTGCAAACTCTACCTCCTAGGTTCTCGTGATTCTCCTGCCTCAGCCTCCTGAGTAGCTGAGATTACAGGCATGCGCCACCATGACCTGCTAATATTTGTATTTTTAGTAAAGACAGGGTTTCACCATGTTTGCCAGGCGGGTCTCAAACTCCTGACTTCCGCTGACCCACCCACCTCGGCCTTCCAAAGTGCTGGGATTACAGGGGTGAGCCACCATGCCTGGCCTGAGAATTGTAAAGTTCTAATTGCATATGTTTATGGAAGCCTACATGTATACCCAGAAAAAAAGGGTAAATTTATAAATTATTTTTATTCTTTGTATTGTTATATTTTCTATTGCTTTTATGTTTTTGTTGTTTTTATAATTTTATGAGTGTCTTAAAATTACTATATCCTTTACTAAATAGTATTTTAAAACTTACTATTGTTTAAGCTGCTAAAAAAAAAAAAGTATGGTGCTTAATGTGCCAGATAATTGCCAAGTAGAGATTCCTAAAGCATTACCTCAAAAAATAATATCAGAATTCAGGCTATAATAGCAAAAAAATAAGAAGGAAAAAAGAATGGAAAAAAAAAGACAATCCATTTAAAAGTGGCAATTATATAAAAATGTTATATCCATAATATGATTTCTAAGAGACCATTAATAAAAATGGGCTATATCTGTATTATTAATATATTCATTAAAATGTCAGCTATATTATGTGGGAGGGGAAAGCAAGTTATAGAATATAATTAGCATGGTCTTTGTTAAATATATATGTGTCTCTGTGTGTGTGTAATATCTATGTACACATACAATTGTTTCTAAATAGAAGAAAATCAATAACTACATATTTCAAATAGTGGTTATCTTTGGGAAATGGGTTGGTAATAGAGAAAAAAGAAAAGGAGAAAGAATTTTACCTTCTACATTCTATATTGTTTTAATTATTTGAATTTGTATTTGATTTTATTATTATGAACCTTATTTTAATAATAAATTAAAAATACTAGTCCTGGCACAGTGGCTCATGCCTGTAATCCCAGAACTTTGGGAGGCCAAGGCAGACGGATCATGAGGTCAGAAGTTTGAGACCAGCCTGGCCAAGGTGAAGCCCTGTTCCTGCTAAAAATGCAAAAATTAGCTGTGTGTGGTGGTGTGTCCTTTAGTCTTTCATCTTTATGGCAGAACTAGGCTCCAACTCTTAGAACTAAAGAAAGTCAATATTAAAATACCAATAATGATTGACACCCAAAAGAGATCACACACAGGCAGGTTGTAGAAAAGAAAAATCAAAATTAGGGCCTGGTGCAGTGGGTACGCCTGTAATCTCAGCATTTTGGGAGGCCAAGTCGGACGGATCACCTGAGGTCGAGAGTTCGAAATCAGCCTGACCAACATGGAGAAACCTCGTCTCTACTAAAAATACAAAAAATTAGCCAGGTGTGGTGGTGCGTGCCTGTAATCCCAGCTACTTGGGAGGCTGAGGCAGGAGAATCGCTTGAACCCAGGAGGCAGAGGTTTCCGTGAGCCAAGATCGCACCATTGCACTCCAACCTGGGCAACAAGAGCGAAACTCCATCCCAAAAAAAAAAAAGAAAAATCAAAATTAGAACTCTGCTGATGTAAAGCTCAGTCCTGGGCCAGGTACAGTGGCTCTCGCCTGTATCCCCAGCACTTTAGAAGGCTGTGGCAGGCAGATCAGAGATCACTTCTTGAGGTCAAGAGTTCAAGACCAGGCTGCCCAACATGGTGAAATCTGCTCCACTAAAAATATAAAAATTAGCTGGATGTGATGGTGGGCACCTGTAATTCTAGCTACTCAGGAGGCTGAGGCAGAAGAATCACTTGAACCTGGGAGGTGGAGGTTGCAGTGAGCTGAGATTGTGCCACCACACTCCAGCCTGGGCAACAGAGCAAGACTCCATCTCAAATACAAATAAAAAAAGCTCAGTGGGCATGGTGGCTCATGTCTGTAATCCCAGCACTTTGGGAGGCCAAGGCTAGTGGATCACCTGAGATCAGGAGTTCGAGACCAGCCTGACTAACATGGTGAAACCCTGTCTCTACTAAAAATACAAAAACTAGACAGGTGTAGTGGCGGTCACCTGTAATCCCAGCTACTCGGGAGGCTGAGACAGGAAAATCACTTGAACCCGGGAGGCAGAGGTTGCAGTGAGTCAAGATTGTGCCATTGCACTCCAGCCTGGGCAACAGAGTGAGACTCTGTCTCAAAACATAAAAATTAAATTAAAAAATAAAGTTCAGTCGTCAACACTCACTGAGGCAAATGTCATCAACTACATAGAAACTAGTGTGTCTTCTTTTTAAATATCCAAAATAATATGACCACTTGCCCTGTGTTTACTTTATATGGGATACAACATTACAGGAAAATGACAATTGGTTCAGAAAAAAAACTCAGAGCTAATGTGAAGATTCCAAATATTCTTTCCATATCAACTTTCTGCTTTTTATTTCTCATTTGATAATTTGATGACAAAAAGAACTGTTTTATTCTTCATAACTTAAATTATGCATTTATTCATTGTTTTATTGTTTGAGACTTTATCAATTTAATAACAGTATATTTTGCGCCACAACTCATTCTGTGTTAACCAAATTCTTACAGAGAAGTTTAGCTAGTTTCATTGTTTAACCAAAGAAATTTGCCCACTACAGTCACTCACTGAACTAAATTAAGGGTGTGGCATAAAAGTTTCATGGATATACTCAGGAGTTTTTATGTATAGCTCTTGTTTAACAGTGGAGAAATGGACTCGGAAAAACATAAATATTTAGTGTATTGACACATGGTGAGGCAGCCAGGTTTGACTTTTGTCTTGTATAAAATATCACAGCAGAACTACCTTTGTCAGACAGACTTAAAAAAAAAAAAAAGCCTGGGTGAGTTGGCTTATGCCTGTAATCCCAGCACTTTGGGAGGCCAAGGTGGGCAGATCACGAGGTCAAGAGTTAAAGACCAGCCAGGCTAACATGGTGAAACCCCATCTCTACTAAAAATACAAAAATTAGCCGGGCATGGTGGCGCATGCCTGTAATCCCAGCTACTCAGGAGGCTGAGGCGGGAGAATTGCCTGAACCCAGGACGCGGAGGTTGCAGTGAGCCGAGATTGCACCATTGCACTCCAGCCTGGGCAACAAGAGTGAAACTCCGTCTCAAAAAA